TGTTTCTGTGAGACTTGCACAAAGCTGCATTAAACATATTATAATGTCAAACAGGCTGATGTGGCTCTAGAGTGATGTTTTATATGTTGTAAAGTTGAGTTTATTTATGCAGATTAGTAATAGTAATAATAATGATGCTTATATTAAAATGTTAATGATAGTATGAAAACAATGTAATAATGAATTCAAATGAAAATAGAAGCTTTTCTCAGCAATTTTTAGGTGAGATTAAAAAAGAGATTAATTAGATTAATTAATTACAGATCATAATTAATTAATCTCTCAATTTTTTTTTTTATCTCTGACAGCACTAATAGTTGTACATGTATGTATATGTAAATGTGAGGGAGCGCCCGTGTTGACAACCACATGAGGGGTTCTTTAAGTTATTTTTATTGTGTTTATTTCCAAGTTGATTTGTGTTCATCAGTACAGTTTTGCTCGTGTTAATTCCTTTAAAACCCCATTTTTTGTCAATTGGTTAGCCCGGGGGGACGGGCTAAGGGGTATATAAGGAGGGAGTTCCAGTCATTTGAGCAGTCTGTTTTTGGCCTGACTACGTGGGTGCTGGCTTCTGTAAGTGTGATTACTGTAAACATCGTTTGTAAATACTTCTTTTCTGTTGGACTGTACCACCTCATTTTTTTCACTGTAAATATTCCACTCTGCACTTTGAGCTGTGGTGTGAATTAAAACCCACTAAGTAAAGTTTTTTCGACTGACCCATCTTTTTTTTTACATTTATTTCAGACGAACCCTTGACATTACGATGATGTATAGCTGGAATGTTGTATAGCTGGAAGAACTACTGAAGAATTGTTCACTTAATTAAAAATACAGATACAGAGGCAAAATTTACTCAAGTAAAAGTATCACATTAAAGTTATCTACTTAAAAAGTGGAATCGTGAAAGTATTTTTTATATTTTGAGACATGTTGTGTTAAATTTACTGATCATTTTGCAGATTTTTGGTCCACAATAGCAAAATTAATCTATTTCTTTCTTTCTTTCTTTGAACTTTGACTTTTGAAACCTGAACTCTGGACAAATCAAATATAGCACTAGCACATCATTTCTTAAAGGTTCTATATTACGCAAAATTAACTCTTTTGAGCTTTAAGTAATATTATAATGTTGTTACCTCCTCAAAAACAGCTCAAAACGCTCTGTTGTACCTTGTGATGTCATCAAGTTAACAGCTACCTTTTACCTTTTGTTTAATAGAGACTGGCTATTCCAGGCTGGAAATGATCCAAATTATTCTAATAAAGTTATGTGGAGTTTCAAAATACCTATATATGCACATGCACAAATGAAACAAAGCACAATTCCAGGTCTGTTCATGATGAGGAAACAACATTATAACACAGATCTGGAAAACAGCGTCGTATAGACCCTTTAAGCAGCAAAAAAGCATGACAAATTCTGTCTGACGGTGTATAGTGGGACTGGGGTGAGTATTTTGTATTCAGTTGATACTCTCAGCTCCACGTTGCAATTTCCTGCAGAAATCTTATCTAGACCGACCTGGAAATGCAGTCTGGGAAAATCTAATGCTGCCACCTCGCATTACCCCCTACTTTTGGCATTTGAGGATCATAACTAACCACATTTCGGTTTAGCACGATGTCATTGTTAGTATGCAGGGTCAATGGGAACGAAAATACTGAGAAATACTCGTAGTAATTAGTCATTTAATGTGTCTTTTCCTATATTGTATAAGCAGCTCTTGATGTAAAAATAAGTCAGTTGAGATCTATCTGCATCTAATTAACATTTCATCAAGAGTCAGGACATGCACGGTTAGCATTCTAGTCGTTGTCAGTATTACCGTGATGTCAAACTTCTGTTCTGATTTCTGTAAGTCAGGGGTGCTCAGTACGTCGATCGCGATCTAGCCAGTCGATCGCCAAGGTCGTGTGGGTATATCACCATGTCTTAGTACTCGTCTCGGACTCGATCACGTTTGGACTCGGTCTTGTCTCTCACTCAAGGTCTGACACTCAACAAGTGCGATCATATTTCATTACGGCCGCTGCTGTTGGCAATAAAAAAACTTGTAGCGGGTGCAGGAGCGTGTGGGGCGTCTCAGTGCAGCCTGTGCGCTCATTTGAAACCCGCGGAGACTCTACGGCGCATCACAAACACACACGCTCCCTATGCACGGCTCGTCTGCAACAGCGTGTGCCCTCGTGTACCAGCGTGCATCACAGGGCAGGTTCAACTTCCTAAACATCCTACCTGTCCATCTGCCTCACGTCAGCACGCCGCCCCTCGCCTTTTCACGCTCTCGCTCCTTCCTGCGTACAGCGAACACAAGCCCCTCCCACAGTGCGGCTGATTAGAAGAGCAAGACCAAACGTGAAGCAAAAACGAGTCTAAATTTGTGTTACAGTGTTGGCACAAAGCAGGTCTACAGCATAGAGCAGATCTACAGAACAGACCTACTGCCACATTTGGCTGAAGTTTGCCTCACAAAAGTGCACAAATGTATCTGTGTTTGTCACGATGTGCGTTTGGTTTGGTAAACGTGCAGAGGCTGGTAAATATCACTGCAAAACCAGAAAAGAATGCAACTCCAGTTTGGAACTTTAAAAAACAGGTTTAAAAATCTTACCTACTTCCTTCACTTTTTTCACAGTTTTGTGTAAAGTGCCAGAGGAAGTTCTCTTAAAGAAGAGGTTCTCAAACTGTGGGTGAGGGTCCAAAAAAGGGGCACAGAGTGTTTCAGTGCAGTTTGCTTGGCTTTGTATTAGGTAGATCATTTTGACTTGGTCATTTTGTAAGTAGCTCGCATGCTGAAAAAGTGTGAGCACCCCTGCTGTAAGTAATGAATGAAGTGAAGAATAACTTTGCTTGCTCCTGACTGCTCTTGAAGACGCCTGGCTGCTCCTGTCAGCTCCGTACTTCTCCTGTTGCTGCTGCTGCTGCTCCTGACTGCTTCCCTCTGGTCAAAGGCTTTTAGTCCCAGGATCTGCAACGAATCGTTTTAAAAGGAGCTTCATTACAGATGCTATTGTACTTATGAATAAACTGTAATCTATTTATCTATCAATTTTAGTACGTTTGTCTTGGAAAATTTGTGCGTTTTCATATCCTCCTGAGCTCGGCCCATTTATTTGTGTCCTTTTATAGCAGACATTAAGTTAACCAGTCGATCTTTTAATGGTTGTATGGAGGATTTTTTTTTTTTTTTTTTTTATTGTTTCAAGTTGTCAATGATAGCATTATAGAGGTGCAGTAGCCTTGTAATTATGATGACCAAAAAAAAGAGAATAAAAATTCATCAACTCTGGACGTGGTGGGGCTAAACATTTGCCAATAGATAACGACACTGCCTCGTTATCTGTGAGCTGACAGGCTGTCAATCAATCTCCCTACGTTTCTAGCGTAACTGACTTGCCTGCGCCGCCGGTACGTGGTTTACGTACGCCTGTCACGCAGTCCACAGACGCAAGACGCACAGACGCTGTTTACTCCACCAGCGCAACAGTTCTTAGCGTCTTTTTTTGACCTATATCTTCCTCGCAGTTAGCACAAAGTTTGTTGCAATGGCGACAAGAATCCAGGAGCAGTTCGCCGCAAAAGAAAGTCTGTTTTTGAGGTCGCTGAAAGAAGAAGACAAGGGGAAAAGCAGCGAAGCCAAACTAAGGTGATTCTTATAGATTCATTCCAGCGATGGCGCGACTGAAGCAGACGCAGGGTCTAAAGACTGACGCACTGGTCCACAAATTACTCCTGGACAGGTCACTTCTGCTTATTATGAAAACGTACTTTATTTCCAAGAGCTAGACAAACGTTTTTCAGGACACGAAAGCGATATCCTATGTCTGAAAACGTAATTTTCAAGGCAAAGAAAGAGTCCGCTTGCTGCTGCGTGTTGTAGCTAGTTCATTCGCACTGAATCTCCGCGCAACCTTCTCTGCACCCCTTTCCTGCTCCTGTCCCCGCTACCCGATTCGCTCTTCCCCCTGCTCCTCACTTCTCCGGGCACGGAATCTCCGCGCACCGCTCCCCTCTCCTCTCCCCTCTCCTCTCTCCCCTCTCCTCTCTCCCTGCTCCGCTCTTCCCCCGCCGCTCCTCACTTCTCCGTCTTGCCTAACCAACACTGTTGTAGTTAGTTTTGTTTTTACAAGTCATGTGCAGCACCGGCTGTAAACAAACCTGTTTCTGGCGTAAAGAGGAGGCGGGAGAAGGCGTTTCTACGTAGGGAGCTGTAGGGGAGGGGGGGTGGTTTCACGCATGCGCAACATTTGAAAAAGGACAAACAGTCGCTGGATTTCTCGTTCCTTGGAAAATCCTCTATACAACCTTTAAGCATTTTGAGAGAGACTTTTAATGCGGGGACTAGGTTCCTCTGCCTAAATAGGGCAGGGGGATTGCACCGGATTACCATGTTCGGGATAATAAAAAACAAATCAATAGGAGTTAGTCTGTGGCTGCACTATGATAAGAAAAAATAAATAAATGAGAAATTAAAAGGGAGTCCAAATACTTTCTGAGGTGACTGTAGAAGATTGTCATAGATGTTTTTATGAGGTAGTTAACTTCACGTGGATTTAACACCAAAATGTCCCCGACGTCCATTACAGAGGACAGGTTACAAAATTATAAATAAAAATAAAATGAACAAAATCTAAATGCTAAGGTGTTCATTTACCTCTAAACAGATAGAAAATCACAAAAAAATATATATTGTAATACACTTTTTTCTATATAGTTAATATTTATTGTGATTTTAGCCAAGCATGATGGATGAATTTAACTAATTGTTTATGGAACAAACCATTCTGCACTGGAGCTCTGAAACACTTTATTTTGTAATTGTGGTTTTAAATGTGTTTATTGTTCATAATGTGTATGAATGAAATGTGAAATGTGGGAGCAGCCTCTCAAATCTGCAAAACAAATTTACCTACAGGGTACGAATAAAGCGACCTAACCTGCTCCTTGTTGCTCCTGACTGCCCCTAGCTGCTCCACGATCCTGCCTCTCCTGCCTACTCCTGCCAGTTCTGACGGCTCCAGCTCTTCCTTGTTACTTCCGACTGCCTCTGACTGCTCCGGACTGCTCCTGAATGCTCCTGACTGCCCCTGACTGCCCCTGACTCCTCCTGACTGCTCCTGACTGCTCCTGACTGCTCCTGAATGCTCCTGACTGCTCCTGACTGCTCCTGACTCCTCCTGACTCCTCCTGACTGCTCCTGACTGCCCCTGACTACCCCTGACTGCCCCTGACTCCTCCTGACTGCTCCTGACTGCTCCTGAATGCTCCTGACTGCTCCTGACTGCTCCTGACTCCTCCTGGCTCCTCCTGACTGCCCCTGACTGCTCCTGACTCTTCCTGACTGCTCCTGACTGCCCCTGACTGCCCCTGACTCCTCCTGACTGCTCCTGACTGCTCCTGACTGCTCCCTGACTGCCCTGACTGCCCTGACTGCCCCTGACTGCCTCCTGACTGCTCCTACTGCTCCTGACTGACTGCCCCTGACTGCTCCTGACTGCTCCTGGCTCCTCCTGACTGCCCCTGACTGCCCCTGACTGCTCCTAACTGCTCCTGACTGCTCCTGACTGCCCCTGACTGCTCCTGACTCCCTGGCTCCTCCTGACTGCTCTTGACTGCCCCTGACTGCTCCTGACCCTTCCTGACTGCTCCTGCCTGCCCCTGACTCCGCCTGACTGCTCCTGGCGCCTCCTAACTGCTCCTGACTGCTCCTGACTGCCCCTGACTGCTCCTGACTGCTCCTGACTGCCCCTGACTCCTCCTGACTGCCCCTGACTGCCCCTGCTTGCTCCTGACTGCTCCTGACTGCCCCTGACTCCTCCTGACTGCTCCTGACTGCCCCTGACTCCTCCTGACTGCTCCTGGCTCCTCCTAACTGCTCCTGACTGCTCCTGACTGCCCCTAACTGCCCCTGACTGCCCTTGACTGCTCCTGACTGCCCCTGACTACTCCTGACTGCTCCTGACTGCTCCTGACTGCTCCTGACTGCCCCTGACTGCTCCTGACTGCCCCTGACTGCTCCCTGACTGCTCCTGACTGCTGACTCCTGACTGCCCCTGACTCTCCTGACTGCTCCTGACTGCTCCTGACTGCCCTAACTGCCCCTGACTGCCCTTGACTGCTGACTCCTGACTGCCCCTGACTGCTCCTGACTGCCCTGACTGACCTGACTGCCCCTGACTGCTCCTGACTGCTCCCTGACTGCCCCTGACTCCTCCTGACTGCTCCTGACTGCCTGACTGCTCTGACTCTCCTACTGCCCCTGACTGCCCCTGACTGCCCCTGACTGCCCCTGACTGCTCCCTGACTGACTGCCCCTGACTGCCCCTGACTGCCCCTGACTACCCCTGACTGCCCCTGACTGCCCCTGACTGACTGCCCCTGACTGCCCTGCTGCTCCTAACTGCCCCTGACTGCCCCTGACTGCTCCTGGCTCCTCCTAACTGCTCCTGACTGCCCCTGACTACCCCTGACTGCCCCTGACTGCCCCTGACTACCCCTGACTGCCCCTGACTGCCCCTGACTCCTCCTGACTGCCTCTGACTCTCCTGACTGCTCCTGACTGCCTGACTGCCTGACTGCTCCTGACTGCCTCTGACTGCTACTGACTCTTCCTGACTGCCCCTGACTGCTCCTGACTGCCCCTGACTGCTCCTGACTGCTCCTGACTGCTCCTGGCTCTCCTGCCTGCTCCTGACTGCTCCTGACTCTCCTGACTGCCTCTGACTCCTCCTGACTGCTCCTGACTGCTCCTGACTGCCTCTGACTGCTACTGACTCTTCCTGACTGCCCTGACTGCTCCTGCCTGCTCCTGACTGCTCCTGACTGCTCCTGACTGCTCCTGACTGCTCCTGACTGCTCCTGGCTCCTCCTGACTGCTCCTGACTGCCCCTGACTGCCCCTGACTGCCTCCTGACTGCCCCTGACTGCTCTTAACTGCTCCTCCTACCCCCCAATTGTTTCTACCTCTGCTGACTGCCCCTGACTGTTCCTGACTGCTCCTACCTCCTGATTGTTTCTACCTCTGCTGACTGCTCCTGTCTGCTCTCGGTTGTACTGCAGATGTAAAATTCATATTCAGCGGCCGGAGCGGTGCCCTCCTGCTGCCTCTGCAAAAGAGCCTGTTCTGAATGTAATCAAGGGACCACTCTGGGAAGTGTTCCGCGGCTTTAGTTTCTCTTTAGACATCAACAACACATAAAAAACACATTTTAAGACAGACTGTATTTACTGTGGTAGATCACATAAACTTTTAATGTGTGTTCATTTAGGCCGGCTTTCTCTGTGGCACCATCTTTGCTGTTGAGTCTTGCTGCTTTATAGTTTGCACGCTGTTATTTTCAAGCAAATCACTTCTAACATCGCTCCCTGTTGAGGGTCTATGCTAAACTGGCTTTTATAATTCTACAACCATATAGTGGAGCTGTGTCCTCATCAGAAATAATATGTTTGTACAGTTCACAACTAAAACCTACATGCACTGACATGACCTGCACTCACAATCATGCATCAGCTCATGCACCAAAGTCTTACTGTAGTTTGGATTTATTTGATTTCTATCTTGAGATTAGACTTGTTTATGTTTTCATGTGGTGTCCTCAAGAATCAAGACGATGATTTTATTTTTGTGTATGTCTGGCTGGTTTCAAAATGTATTTATAAAAGTAAAAAGCAAGTTAACTGGGTGTTATATTTTTGCAAAAGATAAGTTCTATATCTTACTCTCCAAGAACAGACAAGAATATAAACCAGCCAAGAGTAAATTTAAATGTCAGTGTCAACAAAATCTATCCAAACTTTTTTAAACAAATACATATTGTGCTGACTTCGGTGTCAGAAAACTGTGGTGCCCAATGGGAGCCGGAAAAGTCACCACAACAAAGGGTCTACAACTCCAATAGATAGCTCTGATTTTCTTTTCATTTGCACCAAAATGACAACGCGACGCTGCCGATTCCAACATGTATGAAAACAAAACTGGGTGCAGAGCAGTGGCCGTATGTCGAGGACTATAAGAACGGTTGATCGTCAATATGAATCCGTGTGTCATTCGTTCATTCGTTTTTCAATATAAAACCAAAAATAAGAAAATGAAATAACAACTGTTTTCTTCATTATTTGTCTCCAAAACCAAAATGAAAAAACGGATAACGATTCCTTTTTTCAGTTTTCGATTTTGAGTTTAAATGAAGAATGGAAAAAACGGATAACGACCGTTTCCCATTTACGTGACTTCCATGACTGCGATGCCGGACATTTGCACCACATACGGACTGAACCAGGACTGATCCAGGTCCAGGACCAGAGTGGGACCAGAGCGGGACTGAGACCGGGACAGACTGGGACCAGACCGGGACTGAGACCGGGACCAAAGCAGGACTGAGACCAGGACCAGACCGGGACCAGAGCGGGACTGAGACCAGGACCAGACCGGGACCAGAGCGGGACTGAGACCGGGACCAGTGGTCCGAGCAGTTCCATGTCATTGTCTGCGTGCTGGTTCGGTGGGGGGAAAGCGAGAATGCGCTGTAGACTACAGGTCCGGACGGGCTGCTCTGGTCCTCCGCGCTCAAGAACCGCGGCTGGTTCCGAGGTGGTGCAAAGCATCCGACTGACGCTTTCACACCAACGAAAACGAACCGAACTAAGAGCTTTTGGTTCAAATGGACCAGGTCCGGGACCAGAACAGGACCAGAGTGCTACTTAGAGTGGGACCAGACCGGGACCAGAGCGGGCCTGAAACCGAGACAAGACCAGGACCAGACCGGGACCAGACCGGAGGCTCAGAGCCCACAGCAGGGCCGGAGCTCAAAGCTGAGGCTCGGACCCCGTGGAGGCTCGGAGTCAAAGCTCGGAGTCCGCCCTGGTCCCGCTCTGGTCCCGCACCTGGATCAGTCCTGGTTCAGTCCGTACGCGGTGCAAAAGTCCGGCATCGCAGTCACGTAAATGGGAAACAGCCGTTATCCGTTTTTTCCATTCTTCATTTAAACACAAAATCGAAAACTGAAAAAAAGAATCGTTATCCGTTTTTTTCATTTTGGTTTTGGAGACAAATAATGAAGATAGCAGTTGTTTTTTCATTTTCTTATTTTTGGTTTTATATTGAAAAACGAATGAATGAATGATACACGGATTAATATGGCATCTTGAAAATATGTGATTAAAGATTGCTCAAACATGCACAAATCACTCAAACACAGTTTTGCACAATCGACTGCTTTAAAGATGCATTGTGTACATTTTCTTGTAAACCGCACATGTCAAACTCAGGCCTGGTGCCAAATTTCACCCGTGATATAATTATATTTGGCTCGAAAGATCATATGAAATATATATTAGAGCTGGCGCCATCCTGCCAAGCCAGTATGGCGCATGCACTGCTACTACAAATCCCAGAATGCTTTGCAAATGCATTGGCACATTTTGACTGATTGTTGGCAACATAAAGATACATTTAAAAGGAGTTCAAATGCTATATTTAGACTCTAGAGACATTATTAATTTAAAATGTTGTTATTATTTTATATTCTGCTTGTTCTGGATTCAGTGTTTTAACTATTTTTAAACATTTATTTTAATAAGAAAAGGTTTAACGTTACATATCTCGAAAGAAGAGAAAACATGCAGATGCTGTTGAAATTTTGCAATAAATATTTAGTTTGGCCCATGACTTAGCCCCAGTTTTTAATTTTGGCCCTCTGAGAATTTCATTTTGATTCCCCTGTTGTAAGGGGTTCATTACAAACTTGTTTCCATGGAGATATTATTGCTTTGTCTGAAAGATTTCACAATATGACATTAAACTTATCTATAATGCATGTATTCAATTACAGGTGTTTTACTGCTCAAAAATACTACAGAAACGTGCATTCCTACAATCAGTGTGCTTGCTTCTTCACAGATCTGACCTGTAACTTAGCCTGGAGGCATTGTGGGCTTGTCTCCATGGAAATGAATAAGTTCAGTGCCCTATTCTGGGACATTCTAGATCAGGGGTGGGCAAACTTTTTGGCTCGGGGGCCACATAGGGTTCTAAAGTTTGACTGAAGGGCCGGACAGGAGACGGGACATGACGTGTTTAGAGCCTGCCTCCATTGCACTTGTATTTATGCTCATGTAGGACGTATTCTGCACTACGCACTGCAACTATTGGAAGCGTAACTTTCAGAATTCATGATAAGTGAATGAGGTCTGCTCCACTGTACACTACAGGCGAGCATGAGTACTGCATGCTTAGATCTCATTGAGAAACAGAGCCCATGCCACAAGGTTGAGCGCGTACACACTTATGTGCACAGTCTAACCAGACTTTTAAGATGTTAGATGTGTTAAGATAAGCAACACAGTGTCTTTTAGTCTTATGACGTTGCTGTAAACCCACTCAAATTGGAAACAGTGCAGACTTATGTCTTGAACACCTCACTCATGGTCCGAATACACCGCCCAAAACTGACTCCTGTTATTAGCTAGTCCGAAAGAATACTTTCCCATAAAGCATTGCTGCCAACATAATACGCCGCACATCAATGTGTATATATATATATATATATATATATATATATATATATATACACATACATACATATATATATATATAGTGCGCCATCTACTGGGAAAAGCCGGAAATGCGAGGAAAATAAAACATCAACAAGGTTTATTATTGTAATTTATTCAAGTTTGGCGGGCCGGATTAAAAGGTTTGTCCACCCCTGTTCTAGACAAACAATATGGTTTACATGAAGACAAGCAAATGCCAGACCCTCCAGGGGAAAGTTACACAATGCATCTTTAAATTTAAAATGGATATACCGAAACAATATTTAAATTTTTTTCACTTTCTTCTCTCAAGCTCCAGAACCTTCAAAGCGCGGCCTTCTCTTCCTCAGCTTTTTCCACACCAGCCCACGGAAGAGCCTTGATTTCGCTGCATGTTAAATGTTGGCTGCTTTTCGGAGGCGCGTTCAGCACATGGTCATCTTTGGTCTTGTACTCATGAATTATTCACGTCTTCTCCTGTCGCCGGCTCCAAAGGCTACACTGGAGATAAGGTCAACAGAGTCCAGCCTCCAGCGCACTGATGGATGAGAGGAAGAAACGCTGACGGAGCTGCTTTAACGCCCCATCATCAACCCACCCAAAGAGCCATATTACACTTACTTTCCCCGCATAAGTGATTCGCTTGATTTTAGGCTAAAGTTTGAACGGGTTTTAAGTTTGACTTGGTTTTATGTTTGCTTACATCTATTTGTTTTCTAAAGGTTCCAGTTATAAAATGTCCTGCGCATGTTTTAGTTTGTAATGTTAGCCTCGTCCACTTAGTCCTTCATTCTGATTCGACACACAAGCCGGGTTCGTCATCCTTGGTTGTTTCTAAATTATTCTCATCCAACAATACGTCAGTCTGATTGAGCAAAGGGTTTGTAATTCTTCCTGTATAAACTGACTCTTGTGGCCATAGCGGTTTGTCAAAGCCTGATCCCGTCAGATCTCAGAAGCTCAGCAGGGCCAAGTCTGGTTTGTACTTGGATGGCAGACCACTGAGAAAATCAGGAGCCACAGGGGGGCTGTCATTGTGTCCTTAGGCAAGACACTTCACCCACATTGTCTAGTATGAAAGTGGTGTAGTAGTGTGTGTGAATGAATAATGAATGAATGAGTGAATGAATAATGCTGTGTAAAGTGTCTTTGTGACATATGTCTGAGAAAAGCTCTATATAAATAAAAATGTACTTATTTAAGCAATGTTATAATCACTACCGTAGCTCCCCATTACACACAGCATGGTGGACACAAAGTGCTTGAGGGGGCACCGTGTGAATCATGAATCCCCATCCAGAATCCGCCCCGGTCTGTAAATTCCTCCGCCAGGGTGGGATCAGAGCATCAAAGCATCTGTGGGCTCTGGTTGTAACATTTTTACCTCCTCAAAAACATACTTAGAATTGTGTTTTTGTTTCATTCACACATGTTTGAATAATCCTTTATAAGCTCAAAATGCTCTGTTCCAACTTGAGATGTCACAAAGCGGTTGTTTTCAAGTTAATAACTACATTTTAATCTTTTGTTGAGAAGAAATTGGCAGTTCCAGGGCTGAAATGATCCAAACGATTCTAGTGAAGATAGAGTTTAAAAGCACAGTGGATCTCTTCTTGACATCACAAGGTGGAACAGAGTGTTTACTGTTTGAGAAAACAACTGTTGTAGTCAAGACCGCACTAATCGAGACCAAGACCTGTTTGAGACCACAGGGTCCTGAAACCAGGACAAGACCAAGACCTCTGAGGGTCAAGACCGAGACAAGACCAAGACCACAGCCCATCGAGACCAAATCAAGACCATCTTTGTCATTTACCACATTAATTTGTATTTTACAGTTATTTTGGCACATATATCAATGCATTTATAGATATATCTCCATATATCTCCATCCATCTGATTAATGTTCATTTAAGCTTAAAATAGGCCAAGCAAACTGCAGTGCACTGAAACACTCTGTGCCCCCTTTTTGGAGTCTAACCCACAGTTTGAGAACCCCTTCTTTAATCTGACTTCCACTGCTTCAAGTTAATCTAGTGTTTTGTTTTTTGTTTTTTTCAAGTTCATAACATTTACAGTTTCATTATCTTACTGGTTTTGCAGTGATATTTAGCAGCTTCTGCATAGTTACTGGCCGTAATGAAATATGATCGCACATACCATCTGTCCTTGAGTCTGAGACAAGACCGAGACCAAGCGCCATCAAGACCGAGACAAAACCGAGTCCAAATGTGCTTGAGTCCGAGACAAGACCCAGACAGGTCTCGAGTACTACGACACTAATGCAGAGTTTGTGTGTTAAACATGTGTGAATGAAACAAAACACATCTCCAGGTCTGTTTTTGAGGAGGAAACAACATTATAACAGAGATCAGAAAAGACCATCATAAGAAAATTAGAAAATTAGAGTCAAATTTAACATTATGGGAGGCTCAGGAAATTGCATGACCCACAGTTCCTATAGTAACCAAACAAACCACGTGTAATGGGAAAATAGTTTTTGCTACTACGTGCAGTTTTTCACAGTTTCATTGTGTGTTTTAAATCCTGTTTTAATGAGAGCTGCTCTCCTCATATTAGGGAGTAACTGTCCTCATGACCCAGCACAGGTGCAGATGTTTCCTTTCTTTTGATAATACTTGATTAGACACTCCTATATATGTTTTGTGAAGTCTGACACTAGTTCAGACAGAGTTACAACCCTGCATAGAACAGACTTGAACTTGTCCTCTGCCTCTCTTTGCAAAGATATTAAATCAACTTTTATTTTTGTTGCTTCAGTGGATGTCTGTTATTTTAAAAGATAATTTTCCACAACACTATGTTATTTCCTTGTCATAGCGGTAATCACTTTCACTTTGTAAACCCTTGCAGCATTAGAATTCATTCACCTGACAGTAGGTGAGTCCTTTTTTTACTTCACCAGTCGCTACTATTTGGTCGTGACGTATGTAATGCGCCGCTAACGGGGTTAACTGGTATATTAAGCTTTTCCCAAATGCCATAGGAAGAAGGACAATAACGTCTTTCCCCTTGAGAAAATTCACCAAAGATTGTCTTTGTTCCAGCTTTAAATCCTCAATCTCGGGAATCGTTGCCAACACATAATGTATGACTCTTCTCTGATTGGCTGGTGCCCGAACTTGCACTTCCGGGATTTTTGCGAATCGTCTAGTGTATTCCGATTTCTGACCTAGTTGCTGGAGAGAAATGAAATTGAGTGGAGACACTAGGTAGCTCCAGCCTGGCTAGTAATCATTGCTATTTAGATTGAATGTTATTAGGTTCTTTTTTCAGAGTTTACCGTTTTAAGAGTTTGTTTTCATACCTGACACTAGCGGTCTTCCTCTGAGTGGTCATGTGATGTTGCTGTGACGTGTCCGGTCAGCTGATTTGATCTGAAAAAAGAACCTAATAATATAAAATATCGGAAGACCAAATGAAACTCTTCGGACATTTAGGTCAAATGTTAAAGGTGCATTGTGTAACTTTTCTGGTGGAGGGTCCGTCAAATACTTTTCTCCATGTAGATTTTTATTGGTTTGTCTGGAATGATTCGCACTAGGAAAGAAATTAAACGTTTTTATCTTCATGGAGACCAAACCAGACTTAAGTTACAGGTCAGATCTGTGGAGAGGTGACCCCACTCACAGTCAGAATACATGTTTTTTAGGTATTTTTTGAGCTATAAAACCACCTGTGATTTCACAAATGTAAGATAGAGCTGTTTAATGTCATACTGTGGAACATTCCAGACTAAACAACGGCGTAAATATAAAAAAAAAAGCAGGTGACGGACCCTCCACCAAAAAAGTTACATAATGTGCCTTGAAAATTCCACTTTCCAATGACCGAAACATACTTATAAGAAGACCATGAACCAAATCCACTGAAACTTTTGGACTTAGTTTTCAAAAGCTCCTCTCACTTATAATTTCTTATTGATCAGCTCTTCAGTTGAATCTGCGCTGTCTCTTCAGATTAGACCGGAGAAGTGTATCAAATAAAAACATGCCAAAAAGCCTCAGCTCACCTCCACAGTGCGCACTTCACACAACAAAATACAATGTCAATACAGCCTTTCAAGCTAGAGGCTTCAGCGCCGAGGAGACGAGATTAAAATGGGAAAACACATAGGCTCGTACATGCATATGAGTCAACAATAACAAGCATGATGTGTTGTGTTGTGTCGTATCAAGAAGGAAAACAAGATTAGCAGAAGAACAGAAGAGGAAAACATGCGAAATCAAGATGGTGTAGACCGAGAATTACAGTTTGATGTTTTTTAGAAAGGTCAGACGGGTTTTGTACACAACGGGGCGTGCAAATGTCAAAGATAAGCCTTGTGTTATCTATTTGTTTATTTTTGTGCAACCGTATTTCTTTAAAAGGGCCCATATTACGCTATTTTCTGTGTGTTATAATGTTTTGAGTTGTGCTTTGTTTCATTCACATGTTTAACCCACAAATCCTGCATATTAAAGCTGAGAAGAACATAGAGGTGTAATTAAAAACAAATCTGCAATAAAAGTAAATATAAATTGTCCTTGTTGAATTGCAAGGTTGAACTGCTTTTTTTTTGTTTTTGTTTTTTTGTTGAAATTGAGTTAATTTTTGTTTAATATCTTTTGTGCAGTCTGTCAGGATTTGGCAGGGTGATTTTTGTACTTTTTATATGAGCAAAATCCTAATTCCATTGTGCTTAGGGCTCAGAACTTTAAACCTCTGTGTCTTAGAAGTAACAAAGAGGACAAGAGGAGTTTCCTCCTTAAAGTGGGTGAACGCGCCCTTAACGCCAGTTTACGGTCCAGCGTCAAATCGTCTGCGTCATGACGCAGAGCCTCTGCATCGAACCCGTGCACCTCCGAAATTTTCTAACTACGCATCAAAACGACGCAGACAGCAGGGGAAGCGACGCAGATGATAAGAGCTGTGATTGGTCCTCCGAACCACCGCTCTGTATACATTTCCTGTCGGCTTTTCTTTCTTTCAGTATATATTGAGAAATAATGTGTTTAGTGCAGCTTTGAGCATATGTGTTTACGTTTTACAGAAACGAAACTTAAAACCGTATGGCTAACTTACATAAACAAAGCGCTCATAAAACAGCTCGCTCCTGGTACGCAGTCAGCTTCTCTCGCACTTAAAAAGGACACGACTCAGTGGAATATGAGTGTTCTTTGTGTGACAGGGTCACATTGTACTAATGGTGAGTCTGTTCTGTGCTTTTGTCACGTTAGAGATGGTTCATGTTAAACTTTTCAGAGATTATACGTCTGCGGGTCATACACACAGACCGTATATATGAATGGACAGATATCATCGCCCCCTAGTGTTTTGGCAGTGAAGTACTTCGCGGTGCACAGACCTCGACCCAGATCTATAAATCAAAAACGACGGCGACAAGGCGACGGTAGCAGTGCGCGTTGAGTCAACACAGAACTATACTTCAGCCTTTAGAGATAAGGAGAGAGGCTCAGTCATACAGGAGGATCTGCTGCTCATCCAAATCAAGAGGAGCCAGCTGAGGCGTCTCGGGCCTCTGTTCTGATGCCTCCTGGATGCCACAGTCAACTATGTCTCTCAACTGACCTGGGAACGCCTTGGGGTCCCTAGTGTCATAGTACTCAAGACAGGCCTCGAGACCGTTTTTTGTGGGCTTGGTCTCGTCCCGGACTCGAGCGCATTTGGACTCGTTCTTGTCTTGAGCTCGAGGTCTGGCACTTGACTGCTGCGATCATATTTCATTGTCTGATGCTGTTAGCAATAAACTTGTACTGGTGTGGGAGAGCATGCGGGCATCTTACTGCAGCCTGTGCGCTCGTCTGGAGCCTGTGGACACATCGCAGCACATCACAAACGCACACACACACCAGCAGCGTGCAGCTTGTCTGTAACAGTGTGTGCCCCACGTACTAGC